GAATCTTGTTTGTATTTTGAAGTATTTTGTTGTACTTCTACTGTAATGATTGTTATATTAATTTAACGAGTATCTCACCAGTAAAGCAAAACGCTCACCTAACATTTGATTCCCTTCATAGAAGCTACTACTATTCTGCTATATATCTGCAAGGCAGCTGTTATATATATTTTAAAATAATTAAATAAATTTCATGTGTTACAATAACAAAATTATTTCAACAATTGTTTTAATATCATTTTACACCAAACGTTTACAGGATCTAATGGTCGGCGATGAAGCATCTCAATTGCGTTCCTTACTAGAGGTGTCCTATCCTATGGAAAATGGTGTTGTACGTAACTGGGAAGATATGTGTCACGTATGGGATTACACTTTTGGACCCAAAAAAATGAACATCGATCCAACAAATACAAAAATTTTACTGACAGAACCGCCAATGAATCCGACTAAAAATCGAGAAAAAATGATTGAAGTAGATACATATATAAAAATACTATTAATATACATGTTATATATGGAAAAATTTTTATATATTACTTACAGGTTATGTTTGAAAAATATGGTTTCGATTCAACCTATATAGCTATACAAGCAGTGCTAACATTATATGCGCAAGGTCTGATATCCGGTGTTGTTATAGATTCCGGTGATGGTGTTACACATATATGTCCCGTTTATGAAGAGTTTGCACTGCCGCATTTGACAAGACGTTTGGATATTGCTGGACGTGATATCACACGGTATCTAATTAAGGTAAAAAATAATCTAAAAAATCTTGTAAAAAATTTACATATTAAATTTAATATCATTTTAGTTACTTTTATTACGTGGTTATGCTTTTAATCATTCCGCTGATTTTGAGACTGTACGTATGATGAAAGAGAAACTATGTTATATTGGTTATGATATTGAAATGGAACAGAGATTAGCGTTAGAAACAACAGTTTTAGTGGAATCATATACGGTATGACAATTTAAATAGTTGAATGAATATACTACATTATAATGATAACATATAAATTATTAAATTATATTAGCTGCCGGATGGTCGTATAATTAAAGTTGGTGGTGAACGTTTCGAGGCGCCAGAAGCCTTATTCCAACCGCATTTAATTAATGTTGAAGGGCAAGGTATTGCTGAGTTAGTGTTTAACACAATACAAGCAGCTGATATTGATATGCGTCCAGAATTATATAAGCATATAGTACTTTCCGGTGGCTCAACTATGTATCCAGGTCTTCCTAGTCGTTTAGAGCGTGAAATTAAACAATTATATTTGGAGCGTGTGCTGAAGAATGATATTGATAAACTAGCGGTAAGCATATAAATGATTATTATAAAGAGTGTGGTTAATCAGTTAGTTATTCAGTTTGTTTACGTTTATGTCTGTGAGCAGGCAGTTGTTAGTAGCAAACATATGCTACTAGAAGTTAAATAACTTCTATTTGTTTGTTGTCAATCATTACAGAAGGGTTAGTTGAGACACAACAGCTGATTGACATAATCATTATTTTATTGCTGTCTAAATTTAATTTAAAATCATTTACTAATACTCATAATACTAATACTAATTTACTAATAATATTCCAATGCAAAAATAAGTCCCGATTAATAAATTTAAACTTTTATTTATAGAAATTCAAAATACGCATTGAAGATCCACCAAGAAGAAAGGACATGGTATTCATTGGTGGTGCTGTGCTGGCTGAAGTAACAAAAGATCGTGATGCATTTTGGATGTCGAAGCAGGAATATCAAGAGCAAGGATTAAAAGTATTACAGAAGTTAACGAAAATTACGCAGTAGTGGCTATTGGAAAAGCTTTTTATTTTATTTTTACAACTTTCAAAAGAACATCATTTTTTGATATTTTCGTTCATTTAAATTTTAAAAATTTTTTTTCTTTTCCCCGTAACAAAGTTATGATTTAAGAAATATATAATTTTTAATCACATTTTAATTGTTTTTTTTTTAATTTTGAAAATTGTATTTCTTTACTACTGCCTTGTTTTCATATAGTAACACTAACAACTAATATTTATAATAATAAGTCAAACTAGTTTATGTACAATAATTAACGCATTTTTTTCTGTATTTGTTAAATTTTCGGTTTTTAAATTTATATATAAAATATAATTAATAATACAAATTTTGTTTTTTAATGTAAATGTTTGTATGCTAAAATATTTATTTAATAAATGTATGATTTTCTTTTAATTGATTTTGTATACACACAAAATAATGTAAACACTTTTTTAAAGCTTTTTAAAAACCAAATTTGTTAGTAAGCTTAAAAGCAATAAAACTTTACTTTATTTTATTTAAATATTTTTTTATTTTAATATTTTAAGTTTTATTAAAATTTCTATTTCTATTACATTTTTTCACTCGTTAGTTCAACAAACACAAAATTTGTGTCCTTCCATAGTTAAAACTTTAGTTAGCTTAATAATATTTCATTTTAATTAATAATAATGATAGTTATTATTAGTATCATTTTAATTGTAGTTAAAAATTTCAATTAAAACAAATTAAAATCTAAATAAATATTTAAATAAATTGAACTGCAAACTATTGAGACTAACGAGGTTGCAGATAAATATAATATAATATAACATAAATAAATGCTTAGAGCAGATATTTAAAAAACTGATCATTTTATTGTTATTTTGCTCTAATAAAAAATTTCATGTGTAACAAAAAACAAATTTAATTATTTTTAGATACAAGTAAGTTTTATTTAACTGTAATTAAAGGATCTTTATCCTTTTGCGACACAAATATTTCACATTCATTATTTAAAATTTTATTAAATTGTTCCTTGAACACTTGGAGAAATCCTCTTTCAGAGTTACTATGGTTGCACAAGATGACAGAAGTCTTTTTGTGATTAGCATCCAGCAATTCATGATGTGACATTTCGCCTGTAACGTATAAATCTGCTTCTACACCTTTTAGTAGTGAAGCTCCAGATCCAGCACAAACGGCTACTTTTTTGATAGTTGTTGCTTTATTGTGTTCCAAGCCCAGACTTAAATGCACATCTGTACCGATATGGTTACGTACACAGGATATTGCCTGCTCCAAGGTTACATTCGTGTCAAAAATGCGTCCAGCACCGTAATCTGGTTGGCATGGATTTGGCTAGTGAGTAAGGTAGCAAGGTTATATTTTTTTATTATTATCAATTGGATAGAAATAAAATGTTAAATAGATAAATTTGTGAGAACAGAAATATAGCAAACATATAGAAGCTATTAACAATACTTGTGTTTACAAATATCCATCGGAAGTGCTTGGGAAATTGGAAATGTGCCAATATATCTTATTAGTAACTCAATAAAATTGAAGAAACTAGTAAATATTGAAAGTGTTGTATGCAAATAATTTATATAATGAAAATAATCCATTTTAAGAAAAATTCTGAAAGGTTTTAAAACGTTTGCGATTTAATATCGAACTATAATATGACTATAATAAGAAATTATCTCTACATTAATTTTTTTTTTGTTCATACACCCCCGTATAAATTCTAAATATATTTTTATAATTATATTATAATAAAATATTTTTCGACGATTATAGACTCTTACAATAGTAGTGTAACATAAAATCGCTGAACAGATCCTATAAGCTCTTAACATATGATGGAGAAGCAAACATTAGGAATTAGGCTGCCTTTTAAGTCCTGGGCTTAACAATGAAAATAGTGAAAATGGTTTTATTGTTTTTCAAAGTATTTTCCATTATGATCAATGATTCTCTCGGTATATACAATGCCGATTTATCTCAATCATTTTCCGCACTGCACCGTTGTTTGCTTGTGAAACAGCGTTCTTGAATAACTTTCACGAAATTCGTTGTGGAAGAAACGACGACCACGCTCGAACTCATTAAATCAGCGTTTTACTGTCGCTGGATTTGATGTTTCCTAATCAAATGTCGAACTAAATTGATCGAAGTATTCTCTTAAGGTCAAGTTCATAATTTTGTAAGATATCTACACCGTCAGGTTGGTAAATTCACCAAAGATTTTGAATCTTTCCCTAGCCAATGACGGAAATTGACAAGAGGAGGAGTACAGTTTCCTTCCATTCGCCGAGCTACAAACCCGGCAAAAATCTTGCTATAAGAAGAGAAATGAATGTTAGGGAGTAGAGATGTCCTTCTGTCAAGGTACCCAAATGAACTGAACACTGCCACGTTTAGCTATTTTGTTAAGAGCAGACCGACATTGTGGAAGGGATGTGCTGTTAGGGATGTGGCTATATCTCTTACCAGAGTTATGAATATATCTTGGCTGTTCGAGTACATTACCATATTTACATCGGGGATCTTGAAAAGTAATCTAACATTTTTAAAAAGTCAGAATAATGAGGAGTATTTTTTGATAGTTTGTCAACTGTTCATTGGATAGGATGAAAAATTAGTTTTTGTTTTCTTTGTATATCCAGGTTTTTTGTGAGGAAAGTTGTAGTAAAACGATGAAAAATTTCTAATTATGGACAGAGAAAGAATATCTGAAGACTTGCCACTATAACCAACCAACTCAACAGTGCAATTCCTGTTATTGCGCCTTATGCATCTTTAGAATTTACTAAATATACTTGAAAAATACAATATCTACACATGTTAACAATCAACTTTAGAACTTTGACTGATAATCATTGTATATCTAATGCAAACCAAGAGAAATAGGTCCAATCAAAATACTTTTTCATCACTTGGCAGACCGATGGAGAGCCCAATAATATCAAACACTTTAGCACCATCACCTTATTGCATTCTTAGATTTTTATCTTCGTGACATCAACACATCAGCAATTTCTGACACTGAAATAGACGGGAGAACTTAGTGATTTATATCGATGTGGTATAATCCTTGAGTGCACATTTCTATTACTATTTAGCAAACAAGATGGCGTACAGAGTAGTAAGACAATTGTTATACCAAACGATTTGACCAAATATGATGTCCCATTGCGTTTGGCGACAAATTCAGGTGATCTTCCTGAGACTGCATCTGAGAACTAATACAACAAATTGTTCATTGATCTTTCACAAAGAACTCTTCTGTTCTATTTTTTCCAATAAATATAATATTGTATTTGTTCCAATGAAGACAAATTTAGCTACTGAAATTAAATCATCAAACGCAATTTATGAGTTCTTATCGAATTTTCAGAAATGGTTAGGAGTACGTGAATAGGTATGTGTATTGCAATCGGTAGCACAAATTGCGCTATTGTACCTGATAAAATAATTAGTAAGATTTGAGTTCAAAAACCTAAATTTGTTTTTTCGGATGTCGATGGTTGTATTTCATTCAAATTCTTTGTTTGTTATTGAATTTGATCAAATCGATGCTGATAAGTCGTTATATAGGTCTGACCAAGTTTTTATTTAGCAATTGTGTCAACATGAAAGTAGACGTCAATTTTTATAAACGGAATATTTTAAGTAGCCTAACGTTTGTATGGCTATTGACTAATCAAATCAACAGGATAAAAGCAGAATATGGCAAAGTCGCAGGAGATTGGCAGGTTATATATGGTCAACAGGAGATGTGTATGCTAAGCAATAGCTTACGGGAAGTCAGTTTGAGTATTACAAATGTTGACCTCACAGACAATGTGGACTTTTACTTTAAAGTGAACATTGAAAATACAAAATTGGCTAAATGTGATGCTCGCATACAGAAAAGTGAATTAGAACGATTGGAATCGAGTTCAAATTTGGCTGCATGGCATGGGGTAGTGCAAGTACAAGGGTTTTATTTCGGTTATACGCATTTATATGTTACCTTACATCCAGTAGTTGGACTGGTGGAGTTTGCTACAAACAAATTGAATATCACATTGGTGCGAGAACACAATATTGATAATAAAATTTTTACTTACTCCGCGGCTGCTGTTGTGCTTTTAATGTTTGTTAATTTGGGAACTGCACTGGACTTGCAACGCTTTAAGTCTATAGTATTTAAACCAATTGGGCCTCTCGTTGGTATTGCTACAAGATATATTATAATGCCAGCACTTGGTCTGGGCTTGGGATTTTTACTCTTTAAGCAGTATGAAGAATTGCAGTTGGCACTTTTCTTTACCGCCCTATCGCCAAGTGGTGGCTTGGCTAACATTTGCACTGTATTCCTGAAAGGGAATCTTAATTTATCAGTTGCAACTACAACTGTAAATACGCTTTTAGCACTTGCTATGTTTCCTTTCTGGATTCTATTATTAGCTAGTGTGATCCACAATAACACAAATATGGCAGTACCATTCATGGATTTGGCTGTTAGCTCAATTGGACTTATTTTGGCCTTAATGTTGGGAGTTGTACTCCGAATTTGTATTCCAAAGACGACGAAATTCGTATTTAGATTTTTGAAACCTGTATCAGTTTTACTGAGTTTGTGCCTTGTTGGATTGACGGTAGCTTTGAATGCTTTCATTTTCAAAGAACTCACGTTTATGGTAAATATAAAATAATTTTATAATTTATATATTAAGTACAGTATATAAAAATGGTAAAAAAATAAGTGGGAATGAAGTAAATGAGAATTATAGTGCGGAGTTCGTTATTCGTTATCTTTAAAATGTTTCCGGAATGTTAATTTAAACTATGTCTTTCGACTTTGCTATAGACATTTACCATATCAATTTGTTTGATACTGAGTAATAATTGTGATTTTCAGGTAATTTTGTGATTTTCACTCGATAGGTTTGAGTCCACTTTTTATTAGTAATGTGGAAAAACCTTTGAAATAACAAACACGATTTTCACAATTATTAATAGCCTTAATAGCCCCTGCGTTTAATAACATTTCTCTGGCCAACCACAACGCAAATATTTTTTAATGACAACATATAACTTCGATTAATCATTTTTTATATATTTTCCTTTATTTGCTTAAACGCGAGTTACTGTCTATAGCACTTTTACTCAATAGTGTCTGTGATCACTTGAATGATCCATTGTAATGACAGCTTCGTTGAGTGTATATCTGATAATCGAATTTTTATTTCGTATAAAATGCATTTGAACCATCCAAGACTATCACCATCCAAGTTATGGCTGCTCTACCGGCATGTGTGGAATGATATGGATTCTATTACAATGATTGTCGCGGAACGTTGTTGTTCCATCGCCCGAGAGTGTGTCCGAGTCGACACTATTTGTACTTTTGTATTTTATCTACAATTCTAATTAAAATAGTTTGAACCACAGATCAGTATTATATATATATATTTGGACAGTCACAGAAAAAAAATTGTATATTTTAATTGCAGTAGTAGAATAGAATAGAAAATACACGGCATAATTGCTTCCAGAAAGCGGAGAACTGAGTCCATTATTGATCTTTTGTGTAATTTACTAATGAACACTAACACGACACTAATGAACAGAACACACTTCTCTTTTTGGATCATAGCCAAAAGATCAACTGTTGAGAAAATATTAACTTTGGACGATAATAGAAGTTCCCGACCTAGCAATCTCTTTCTGGTTTGGATTAAAGACGAACAGTCACAGAATATCTGACTAAAGATTTCAACCGCTTCCATGCAGGGAATATATTCCGTCTCTTCAGACAGATCCACCTTGTTATTATGTAAACGCTATTTTCCATGTCTTAAATTATAAAGAAAAAATAGTTTGATTAATGATGAGCACAACGAAGTACACGTCCGAGATATCTGAGTACTATTGCCAAAGATATTATTATTATTATTATTTTATCCTTAATTATTCTATATCTTATATTAAAATTTTTATTCCTTTTTTTATGTATATAGATTTTTCTAGCTGGCACTCTATTACCTCTAATCGGTTATGTATTATCTTATGGTTTATCGAAAGTATTTTGCCGCTCTACGACAGATTCCTTAACCATTGGTATTGAGACAAGTGTTTTGAATATGACAATTCCTATATTACTCTTGCAACATAGTTTGGAAGAACCCAAATCTGATATGGCTATTGTGGTGCCAATAATTACTGCTCTAATATCGATAGGATTAGCTCTAATATTCTACATTGTGCGTCGTATTTTAGGATGGAATACTAAATTGGATGCAGATGCATTTGATGAAAATGAGCTTTTAATTGTAGATTAAATAAAACATTTTATTTTTATTTAATTTAAATGTGATATATAGAATAAGATATACGAACGATAATTGTATATATACGAACGATGATTGAATGTTATAGACTTTTAAGACTTATATTATATTTAAGTAAAAAAATTGAAGTTGAAAACTATTGTTTAACAAGGATATTTACTTCTGAAAACAACGAAATAATTAAAGTAAATTTCAAAAATGCTTTTAATTTTATAAATAATTATATAAATAGGCTGTGAAAGTTATATGCTACGTAAAGTTAGAAAGGAGAATTAAAAGAGATTGAATCTAACCTGTATCTCAGATGGATGAAGCTATACATTTTTTTTTGGTTGTAGGTTTATGTTTGCTGTGGGTCAACTAAACAGATCAAAGATGTCATGCAATTTAGAAGTGCAGGTTAACACCATATTTAGGACAAATTACTTGACAAAGTTTAAGTAAATGTTTATTAAGCGACTATATCCTGGCGTTAGAACAGTTCTTGATGTTGTATATAGTCATCTTTCCTTCTGTTAGATGAAAAACAGCTACCTGTTGAGAACTGAGTTGTTATAGAGATACGGTTTCGAAGAGAACACTACATCATTGTATAGATCTGAGAGCAGTTATCGGCACTACAGACCATTAATGGTTACTTCGTTGTAACAGTTGTCGATTTATGCATGATATAATTTTATAGATTGACGAAAGAAGGCGATTAGATGGGGAACTTTATTGGATAGCTAAAGTCTAAAGAAATTCGACAATCCTTTTAAGCGGGTTTTTAAATGATCGATTTCCAGTAGTTTCTTAACAGAGTGTATATGTTTAAAATCGCATGTGCATTGAATTTTACGCAAAAATAAACTTTTTCCCATAAATAGTTAATAAATAGTTATATATACATAATAAATAATTGCTTTGTAAAATCAATTTGTGAGTGAGTGGTGTTTCGGTAAAGCCATAGATGAACTTTTTTTTGTATAGTAAGTAATAAATTGATATATTTTGGTTTATTTCAAATAATAAAATTATAAATTTGTACGTACAAAAGCTTTTTGAATGAACTTCAATATCATATATAATAAAAATTTAATGTTATACATTAAAATTAAATTTTAATACGATTAACTATGAGCGTAAAAGTAAACTATACTTATCGCAATTTATGAAACAATAAAAAGCTTTTAATTCTTTAATCTATTTCTCTTTCAAAATTTATATTTGATATAAAAAGTGAGTTTAATATATTAAAAACCTAAAGTAGAAAATTAGTAGAGCGCAAAGGCTATTGCTTTTATCAAACAGCAAATATGTTAGAGTTGTTTCGGTCAAGTATAATCAATATTTGAGTTTTCAATTAAAATTCTGTAGATGATTCATGTCCATGAATGCATTAATATTCACACTCTATATCAAGGGTTTGAGTACAGACAGACTTGGCTTTGTAACCAGAGTTTCAAAACATATATATTTTCTCTGACAGTAAATCCTTTTTCCTACTACTAAGCTCACCTTGAGTGACTTCAAAACTTCTGTGGGATTGCTTTCAAGTTTTTAAAAATATTGCTAAAAAGAACAGGGTTCACCTTATATGGATCCAAAGACAGACGATTTAAAGGTAACGAGAAAGCCGAAAAAAGGGACTAGCCAGAAAAGGGACGTCCTCATATTATATTGGGCCAAAACCATTCTGCGGTCCTTAATGGAGCTTGTTTCAACTTATAATTACCAAATGACTGGAAAGAGCAAATGGCTGGGATAATGTAACTGCCTGCAGACAAGCTAAAGAATTCATACCAAATCACTCAAAAGCCAGAACTAGGGCGCTACTAATGCTGAACAGGAAAAGCATTTGACTTATCACAGGGGTTCTCACTAGACATTGTGGAGTTAAGCAGCATCTATTGAATCTAGGTATTACAAGGGTTGATATCTGC